CTGTTAACCACCAACATGAAACGACTATTTATCTTATGATGTTTCTCTTCCTGTCATTTTCTCTGTTCATTTATAATTTTTACATACAAGTTGACAAAATGATACTACATGAAATTATTTTATTTTTCATTTTTTTATTATCTGTCTCCCCATAGAGGGGTAAGACTCATGAAAATAAAGATAGGGTATATCTCATTTATGATTTTATTTCCTGTATCCAGAACAATGTCTAACATGTCTCAACGTTCAATAAATGTTAGTTAAAGTTAAACCAATGTACTAATTAGCAAGTAAATGAACATTTCAATGTGAGCCCTTCCCTGGATGTGAATTTATTTTCTGTTATCTTTATTTTTTTCCCCTGATGACAGTTTTCTCTCATGCACATGTCATTAGTTATTTAACCAGTCACTTGCTGATGGACTTTTTTATGCCACTATAAAAGCACTCATATGTGCATTTTGGGTCTTATGTAATTATTTTTATGATAAATGATTAGAAAGGAATGCATGATTAAAATATTTTAATACATATTTCCAAAATGGTCTTTGAAAGCAGTTTTTAGAAACAATTTACATTTCCAAGAGAAAATCATGACTGTTTCTCTGCATCTCCAACATTAGGTGTTATTAATTAATAAAGTTTTTCATTTTGGTAAGTGAACAATTATGTCTCAAAGTTGTTTTAATGTGCATTTCCAGATCGCTGGAGTCACAGAGTGTTCTTTTGCCAGTCTGTGGCTCTTTGGCAGGGCTTTTCAGGTCCTAAGCTTCTAAGGGGGCGGGAACCTGCATCTGCCATGGTCTATTTTAGGTGTGTGACCACAGATGGCTAAAGTGGGGCAGGCCAGTGTTCAAGGCCCTCAAGGAATTGTAGGGGAGGAAGTCAAGGGCTAGATCCCTGAAGTCCCTGAGATTCCAGGACTAGAACCATTGAGCTGGGACTCTTCTTTACTGGAAGCTGGACCACATCCCTGGTCCCTTGCTAAGGGCCATGGTGGGACAGACACTTGTTCTGGTGTGAGGTTCAGGCCCTGATGGCAGGAATTTGGGTAGCCCCAGATGGGGCTAAGACTGCTGTTGGGGGTTGGCATGGGCGAGGCGAAGTTGATGTCAGGCCCTGAGCTACCTAGAAGTCTGTTAAGAACTTCTGAGAAGCCCAAGCAGGGTTAGAAGATGATGAAGGAGAAAGGGAGGGCCATTCCAGGAAACAGAGGAAAAGGCACTGAGCCTCTTCAAGAATGAGGTGTGCTCATGTGCAGATCAGCCCTTTCTTCAGGACCACACAGCCAGCCACAGCCTGGAGCAGAGACCCCTGTGCACATCCTCATGGCCACACTCTACTTCAGCAGGTTACATGTCCAGAAACACAACCCCCCCTCCATTTCCCCACTCCCCTAACACCCCCCAAAACCCCACCAGATGACATCACCTCCCAGCCCAGCCCTCTCCCTAAAGAAGGCCATGGTGGAAGTTGTTAAAACATCTCCTGCCCCCACCCTACACCCTAAGACAAGCCCTGCAACACAGCACAGTTGTCCCCATTTTACAGATGAGGAGATTGTGCACCAAGTCAAGACCATTTTCTAGTGCCTCCAGGCTGCACAAAGGGCAGAGAAAGAGCTACAGGAGCCCCATGGTGTTGGGAGCCTCCTGAAGGAGGATGCCAGGAGCTGTGCTGGCAGAGAAAACAGTCTCCAGTCACTCATGCCCAGCATGCCAGGCCAGAGGGGATCCTGTCAGGGACACAGATGTAGACTTCCCAGGCTGGACCTACTGTTGTGAGCAGGGACAGGATGGTGCAATGCTACCCTATGCTGGCAGCCTGGGATCAGACCTGGTTATGATGGCCATGAGAACCCCAGGAGACAGACCTGGTTGGAGGATACAGTCACCTTGACCTGGGGCGGGATTGCTGCGGGAATCTGGGCAGTAGTTAGATCAGAAGCTGGGTAGGCCCTGATCTCAGTGAAAATGACAATACTGGCCATAATTTTCTATGAACTAGGCATGGCTGTAATGCTTTACATACATTATTAACTCATTTACTCTTAATTCTTAATAAGGGAAGCATGCTGATTATTCTCATTAGACAGAGGAGGAAACTGAGGCACTAGAAGCTTATGTAAGTTGCCCATCTACTAAGTGACCAAGTACAATTTGACCCCAGGCTCTACAACCCTTTGAACAATCTGCTTGTCAAAAACAGGACTTGGAGAGTGCTTTTATGTGTCCCCATGTGGTGTCAGTTTCTGTGATTTCTAGAGCCCACCTTACCCCCCAGCCACTGCTGCAGAAGAGCAGACATCCTATAGCCCTGAATATGAACCATTCTCTGCCTGGGTCACTTGGAAGGACCAAAACCCTGGATTTCACATGGGCCTGGGACTACTTTGAGCCTTTCATGGAAGTTAACAAGGCAAGGATCTTGACAGAGCCCTGACTTTAAGGGAATGGCCTAGGTCTTCCTTGTCCAAGGCCACCCAAGATCCAGAGGACAGCCAGGTGGGCCTTTGTGTAGAACACCTGTATGTGCAGGGTGCATCCTCTCAGCTGCAGACAGCTCTGGTCCTCCTCTACTCTTGCCCTGGTTACTGCAAAAGTTTCAAGCTCAGTCCTCTCCAAACCATAGGTGAAATGAGAACATCCTGCTTAAGTCTTTACTACAACTCAACAACAACAAAATAAGTAAATTAAAAATGGATGAAGAATACGACCCAGCAATCCCACTCCTGGGCATACATCCAGAGAAAACTCTAACTCCAAAAGACACAGGCACCCCAATGTTCACTGTAGCACTATTTACAATAACCAGGACATGAAAGCAACTCAAATTTCCATCAAAAGATGAATGAATAAAGGTGTGGTACGTATATACAATGGAATACTACTCAGCCATAAAACGAGAATGAAATGTTGGCATTTGCAGCAACATGGATGGATCTAGAGGTAATCATACTAAGTGCAGTAAGTCAAGCAGAGAAAGATAAATACATGATTTCACTTATATGTGGGATCTTTAAAATTAAAACAAGGAAGAAAAGACTCATAGACATGGAAAGCCAATGTAGAGTTACCAAATGGGAAGGGGAAGAGGGATAATTTAGGAGTTTGGGATTCATAGATAAAGACAACTATATATAAAATAAACAAGTTTCTACTGTAGAGCATAGGGAACTGCATTCAGTATCTTGAAACACCTACCAATAATGAAAAAGAATATATATTTATATGTATGTATAATTGAATCACCATGCTGTACACAAGAACACAACATTGAAAATTAACTAATCTTCAATTAAGACAAATGGGTGAAGGATTTTAAAAGATATTTCTCCAAAAAAGATACAAAAATAGCCAAAAAAGATATAAATAGAAGCTCAGCATCTTTAGTTATTAGGGAAATGCAAATTAAAACCATCATGTGAGATGATACCTCACACCTATTAGGATCTAAAAAAAATTTTTTAACACAAGTGTTGGCAAATACGTGAAAAAATTGGAAATTTTGTGTACTGTTGGTAGGAATACACAACAGTAAAGACACTATGGAAAACAGCATATCATTTCCTCAAGAAACTAAAAATAGTATTACCAAAAGAATAAATTGTGTAACTACCTATGGTGGTGAATATTAACTAGACTTATTATTGTGATCATCTCACAATGTATACAGATACAGAATCATGATGATTTACACCTGAAACGAATATAATGCTATTTTCAATTCTATCACAATAAAAAAAACTAGCAATATACAGACTAAAAATTACATATGATCTAGCAATTCCACTTCTGGGCATAGACCTAATATAATTGAAAGCAGGATCTCAAATATTAGTACACCCATGTTCACAACATTCACAATAGCTAAAAGGCAGAAGCTACCCAAACATCCATTAATAAGATGAACAGACAAACAGAATGTGGTATATATGTACAATCTGACCTCATAATGGAAGGAAATTCTGATCTGCTACAACATGGATGAGTCTTGAGGACAAAAGGCTTCCAGGATAAATTGGTCACAAAATGATAAACACTCTATGAGTCCATGCGTATGCGGTCCCTAGAGTAGTCAGAGTCATAGGGACGGAAGGTAGAATGGAGGCTGTAAACAGCTAGGGTTGGGAGGGGAGGGAAAATGGGGTGTAGTGGTTTAATGGGTACAGAGCTTCAGGTAAGAGAGGTTATAAAAGCTCTGGGTCAATGTATAATTCTGTAATGTCTGTTCTATTCAAAATTTGTTCAAAAATTAATTTTGCTTAACCTTTTTATATTTAATTATATAAAATGCTGTTTAATGTGTGTAAACATGAAACATCTAACAGAATCATCTAAATGGTATTTCAGTATCTTTTATGTTTAGGTAACACAGATGTTTTGAATTAAAACTCATGCTGATGGCCTCCTGTAATACCAGTTAGAATACAGATAAAAGGACTGCACTCACCTTGCTTTATCTCTACACGGGAACACACTATGTATTATTAGATTAAGTAATTGTACAACTAAGGTTGAAAGTGACAGCAACATTATTCACTGAACCAGTGTGTATTTTATTACTAATTAATCAAGCTATGAAAATTATACATGCCAGATAAATATCAATTTTACCAGTTTTGTACCTTTCAGGGCATAGATGGCCTTCCAGATGTTTTCCATGAGTAGTTAGCTCCCTCTGTATTCATAAGAAACATAGCAAGTTCTTAGTCTAGTCCATCATTATATATCCCCCGGGAATCCCCTCAGAGATTGACAAAAATGATAAATTAGCTGTTGATTCAAGATCTGTTCTTTTTCTTTTATGTAATTTCCTAAGAAGCTTGAAAGTCAAAATTCTACCATATAACTTGTAATACAAAATATCCAAATGCGCTCAGAAACTGGTGCAGAGTATGTGTAACTAAATAAAGTGGAAGATTGATAAACAATACAAAAATCATGCTGAGTAACTTTCATCATTTACCACAAATGAGTCAAATAGCAACTTGCTTTTACAGCTCTGGAGATGGATGGTTGAATATCTGTGTGACTATACTTAAGGGCCTTTGAGTCGTTCACTTTAAAATGGTTAAAATGACAAATTTTATGTTATGTGTATTTTATCACAATAAAAAATTAATTACAATTAATTAAATTAAATGAATCCTTTACTGGCTCCTCTGACTGATAAAAAGTTCAGACTCCTCAAGCTGCAATGAACACCTTCAGGACTGGCACCCAGTAACACCTCCTGCATGCAGGTCATTTGGCACATCGGCCTCCATTGCATACACACCAGAGGCCAATAACACCTACAATCAATGCAACAACAAAAAGCAAAACAAAACCCACATGCATTTCAATGCCTCTGGAGACTGGATAAAAATCACACCCACTGAGTAGTAGCCCTAAATAAGCAGAAAGAAGAGACAAGTACAGCGGGTAGAAAGTCAGAGAGACAAAGAGGGAAACACAAAATTGGATGAGGAACCAGCAGAAAAAGGGCATCCTTCAGGGACCTTCCCCTACCATTTCAAGTCCCAACTGCTTAGGAAACAAAGCCCCTCAGAACTCAGCCCCAGCCATCCCAGCTGCCTCTACTCCAGCTTTCTCCCCAAGGGACCCACCCACAGCCTCACTTCTCAGACAACTCCTGCTTTTCCTGACCGGCTGTGCCGTGTTCAGACTGCTGTGCCTCAGCGTGCGCACTCTCCTCTACCCGGAGTGCACGTCTCACGGCCAACTCCCAGTCAGACACCAACACCCAGCACGAAGGTTTGCGAAGCCAG